TGCTCTTTACTTGCTCTAAAGACCATTTAACACCACCAGATTTTCGACTGAAAGAGGAAGGCTAAAACTGTTGTATACACCATACGGATGAGACTGAATTACTGAATTCATCCACCACTTTATTACGAAAACAGCTTTATTTTTATTACTTGATTTTTTTATTCTTTAAATGGTGTCTTTTTTTTATTAGTATGTTTTCATTATAAAGAATTTTGTAAAACATTCTTGTGTTGCATAATGATAATAAAGCTGAATCTTAAATTTAAAAAAAACATACATCTGAGTAACTTCTATACAATTGTAATTATACACAGATTGAGTCTTCTATGAAGCAGTGATATTACTGAGCCTACTAACTTACATTAACACAGTTTGCACACAACAATTTAGTGCCAGCATTCCTTCCTGGCTTCGGCTACGGCAGCATAATGACCAGCTGTGTTGGTTTTTGCCTCTATTATATTTTTTAATTCCTCATATTGGTTTAGGATCACACATTGTTCTTCCTGTAAGTAATACGGGGCTTTCGACTGGTCTGTGAATGCGCTGTTAGCTACATTCAGAATTCCTGTGGTGATCTGATGAACTAATAACCAATTTTGTGTGACTGCTTAGCATGGCTGTAGTTGTTAGGTATAGTGCAGCTCAGGGACAAGGGATATCCTGGATATGTTGAACTTGCGTCGTAATAAAGGCCCCTGGTGCAGCTTTGCAACAATAACAAAATCGCTCAAAATAGAGCAATGCTACATCCAGATTTTTTTTTTTTTTTTTACAAACTTTACATAGCCCTGTGGTCTGATTGACACCAGACTTTGCAAAAATTAAACAATTTCTATACAACTGAGGAGAGTAGCCTCTTCATTCCTATTTTGTCGTGACTAGCGCTTGCTCGCTCTGTTCTATTCTACTTATAATTGGATGAGTAAAATAAATAAAATTACATTTAGGAGCAGTCAGCATGAAGTGAATCTTATACAGCAAGGTGTTTAATTTTTACACGGCCATATGATTTTAAATGGAGAATTGAGAAAATAACACAAAAGAACTGTCTGTTGTCTGTTCCTCTACACTGACTGTGATAAATCACACAATAAACCATGTGATATATCACAAAATGTAATTAATTAGATACAAAAATCTAACTTAAATCCAATATTGCACAATGCTCTCATTTAGAAGACCAGAAATAATGAAAGCGATTCCCATTAAATTTACAGAACTCAAAAAAGCCACACAATTATAACAAGTACTGCACAAGATATGTAACAATCTTTGTGAAATCAAAGGATTCTCACATTAGTTGACATAATTTACACAGACTGGGGTAACAGTAGCCTCACATCTGGTAGAAGACACGGATTTTAAAATGTGGCTTAAAAAAGAGATCTGATAAAGAAATCATTGTGTCCTTTGAAGACATGAGACAAAAGTACGACCTGCCTGCAGAATACTATCGTATTTGCACATTAGAAACTATAAATGTGATAAACAACACTCTGTAACACACAGCTACATTTTTTACCTACTCTCACCTGTGTGTATGTGTGGTGTGTGGACAAACAATGCGATTAATGAGATTTTCTTAAATGCTCAAACAAAATCCATTAAATGACCTTAATTTAAAAAAAAAAAAAAAAAGAGTAATCCCTGCATTGCTGCTATATCTGTTGTGGGACTGTCCAAGCTGAATATCCTTTCTAATGTTACACAGGTTGTCAGTACGCATTAATTTAGGCATCCTCAGATTGTTTCTCTCAAAACGTAACCTAAACAACACAGAAAATAAAATTACTGTCTTTTGTTTATTGCAAGACGCACATATTACAGCCAAGTTATAGAAATCAGTTAACAGACCAAGCCTGCAAATCTGCTCTAATAGTTTATTGTGCTCTCTTGCTCCTGAAAACAATTCTAATAAAAGGAAACTGTTTGAGTGGATGTGGTATTCTAACTGAGTTTTTGTAGAAGTTGGAAATCTGTGCAAACCTGTTTGCGTTGACTATTAGCTGATGTCATAATATATCTATTTATGCATATTTGTAGTCATATATTGTATTTTATATTGTTTAATGTATTTATTCACTTAACAACTTCTCTATTTCCTTGATTATATTTGCATGTTTTATTGTTCATTTCCGTAAGTGTTTTACCCCGTCAAAGCAGAGTGTTATCATTATTATCACAATGTTTGTATGTATATCATATTTGTTTTTCTGTATATTTCTATTTTGTTCACGCATTTGCTGAATTATGCCAAAAACTCAACAAATACATGTGTTTAAAAACAATAGGTTATAGCTACTAGTGCATTTCTGTAGGTGGAAGGGGAACTCTAATAGACTACAAAACGTGCAGATATAAAAACTTCTACTGATTTGCATTTGTAAATACCACAAGTAGTAATTAGGGAAAACGTAATATGTGTGACCTGGGTGAACCTTTAATGTTGTAAGAGAGCATAAAAATAATGCAAAAAAGTCTTTCTGGGTTCTTTGCACTACTTATTTTTGTTCATTTTAGTGACCAAGGAATTTAAGTTTATGTTCCTGATTGTAAATAAGTATCAGCGAAATGCCTGAAAGATCTGACTAGCGCATCACGAATCATCTAGAACTAGACACATAAATGTATTGCAAGTGCCACATCTCATCATTAAAAAATTTCCCATGAAATGATGTGTTCTTCCGCTCTGAAGTAAGCAGGCAGAAGCCTTTTAAAATAAGCTTTCCTTTGACATGGCCCCTTCACCACAGAGCTAACACAGCGAGACATGGATTTGTTAGTACAGACATCTAAAGGGTCTTAAAACTCACTGAAAGAGAGAGAGAAGGACCTTTACATTCCCACCCACGTGTTAGATAAAAGGAATAAATACACCGCTGCACTGGCAGTCAGCCATAATGACCCAATTTACAGTCCTCAAACCAAAGAACATCTCTGAAAATAAATTAACACTGAGTAAATGAATATCTTCATGTTGCCCTCCTCATTCTCGCTCTGCTCTCCGTTTCTCACTACAGCCATTGCTCCCTCCTTAATTTCCTCGTTGTGTCTCTCTTCCTTACCTCCGTCTCCCGTCTCCCCCTCTATCTTACTCTCTCTCCATTTCAAAAGGACAAATGTTTCCTGCAGTCACTGTAGCACTGCATTGGTATTCTGCTCTCAATTTAGCCAAGAGCCAGGCAGCAGTATCTGCTTCCAGCAACCACACAGCAATCTGACACAGAGTACTGAGACAGAAAAGGAGAACAGGCTTGAAGAATTAAAGGAGCTGTGAAATATGAGAGAGAGAGACAGGAAGAAAGAGACAGACAGACCTATACGGCTGCCCGGCAGTGACATTTGCTGCGCTATAGGGTCTCTAAACAGCAATAGCTCATCCTCGAGAAAGAAAGGACTCAGCTTTTGTTCGGCTTCTTCAGAGAGCAAAAGCAAAACAATACGATGCTTCTCGAGCTGTTAAAGGCTGTTCAAAACTTTCTACATCAAAATAACTCAAAAGGCTTTGATCTAAATCGTGGCCGCATGCTGATTTTATTCTTATTACTTCAGATCTATCAAAAGCAACACTTCGGAAAAAATTTGAACAAAATATTTTGTTTGAGTTGATTTCTTTTTTCGTTCTGTCAAAGCTTATCTGTGAGTGCCACAAAAATGCAAGACTTCAAACAATTGGCACATAACTGCCGGCAAAATAGTTATCTACCTTTTGAACATTCTGTAATTACAAGTCATTTCATCACACAGGACAAGGTAGGAACCACTGAGTCTATTGATTATTCTCAAAGTCACAATGCAATATTAATAAGCCGTGGTGATCATGTAGGATGAAGGGCTTTTCCCCTGTTTCCCCCCAACATTACAAATGATCAAGACAGAGAGAGCAATTTCTGATCGCTGCATAGGGAATGAGAGAATTCGCGAGCTTGGTGTGGAGATGCAGACAGGATGAAAGAAAGACAGGAGGGAGATAAGTGCAGGAGGAGGAGAGGTACGAGCAGGAAGTGCTGACAGCGGCTAAAGGTGAAAGAGAGATAAGTGGAGTAAGGGAGTAAACTCGGGAGAGATGGAGAGGAGGGGGGAGGTGAAGAGAGGCAGAAAGCCCTGATAGCCTTGAGAAGGGAGAGTAGGACGCAAGTGGAAAAAAAAAAAATGCTGCGGGACGAAGAGAAACAGAGATGGATGAATGTGAAGGAGAGGGAAAAACCATAGATATGGAAATGGGATGTGTCAGTGAAGGAGGGAGCCAGAGGTTTAAAACAGAACAGAGTTTGACATGAGCTGACAGCACAGGAGCACATCCCAAGAGCAAATGAAGGCAAGAGCAGGGTGTGCGCCAGAGACAATAGGCATGGAAAGTAAGAAAGAAGACAGAGGGAAAGAATGAAAAATGGAGGGACTACACACAGAAACTGAATGAAGGAATGCCGGCAGAAAAGTGAATCTACAATGGGTGATCTTGCATTTGAAATACTCAGCAGCTTTGATGTTAAATATTGTTTCCAAATAAATCCCAGCCACATTCAAAGTAGCGACTGTGCAATGTTTAAAACTTGTGTATGAGTCATACAATCCCTTAAAAAAAAAAAGTGTTGTTCTTTAACAAGTCAATTTTTCAAGCAAAGAAACTTTTCCATTTTCAGAAAGCCTCTCAACCTCACTGGATCAGCACTTCTCTTTTAACCACTACGAGAACACAGACCTCCTACTGCCTCGCCAGAGAAATGAGTCTCTCTGACCTTTCTGCAGGAGACGTAAAAAAAACTGTATGCACATCAGAAATGTATAACTCACAAAACTATGTACAAAGTCTTATAACCCTGACACCTCACAGCCCTGAGACGCTACAAAGTGACAAGGAAACAGCAAACATAAGGGTATTGGAATATTTCTGCCTACAAGTTGCCATGTTGAGGCACAGCATACCCTGCTATCCCCCAGCACAGCACAAGAACAATGCAACAACAACAGGGTACATCAGGTAGACAGATTCTTACCTTCCTTGCAGTACTTCCCCTTGAAGCGCGTGTGGGTGCAGTCACAGTGAACTTCTCCATACTGAATAGAGCAAAACCCTCCATTGAAGCATGGGTTCTGTTTGGTGCAGAGGTACTCCAGGTCACTCTGAATGCCCTGGCTGTTTAACAAGGTAGGAGGCATCTCCCCCACCTTCAGATTGGAGATCAAGCCCTGGAAGGGTGGCTCATATTTCACTGTGCTGGACGTCAGGGCAGAGAGGCGTACATCAGGCGGGATCCCACCCACAAACAGGTCACTGACCACCGCCATTTCCTTCCTCTTCGACTTGACCTCAGCCACTTTTGTCTCCCCATCCACCATTAGTAGGGTCTCGCGAAAGTTGCGGGTGAGCAAGACCATGTGCCAGCGGTCGTCATTCACCCGTGTCTCCATGTGCAAAGTGGCTGGCTCGGCACAGTGGATGGCAAACCGCAACTGGAGGCGCCCTCCAGCAATCAACAGCTCCAAGAAGTCACAGTTGCCACCATCGTCCAGGTAGAGTACCAAGGCTTTGCTGATGTTGGTCTTAAGACTGAAGCTCAGCTCGCCCACTGATCCAGCTTCCCACCGCCCGTAGCGTGCCCACTGGCCAGGTGCCCCACCAAATTCCAGCATCTCCACTGTAGTAAGAAGGCTAAAGAGGGCCAGAGGCCACAGGGGCCAACACATGAATCTTAACCCCCTCGTCATGCTCAAAGTTCCCTTCTCTACTTGATGCCTTAAAGGTCTAATAAATCACAGAGCTAAGGCCTAGCTTCACTGTGAATAACAAATTTTAAATGTAAACAAGAATTATTATATACCACTAAATTGGTATATAAAGCTCAATGGGCAAATAATCCTCACAGGAGCCCTACTCCAATTTTCCCGAGCAATAAGCAGTTTCTCCTCTTCTCTCTGAAGCTCTAATTCTTGTCCTTATCCTGACTCTCTCCTTCGTCTCTCCATCAGTTGGTGCCTCTGGGACTGAGGAATAGCAGGAGAGTAAAAGAGGGGGAATATGATAATTTCAACACAGCCGTTTCTTCAAAAGGCTCTTGGTCTATCCTGGACCGAAAATAGAATGTTCGTCTCTAGAATCCAGATCTCAATGCAATTTCCAGGAAAACTGAGCTGCTGCCAAAACCTTGGGGGAAGATTGTGATCTTTCTTTAAGAGAAGTGCAAGCAGAAGAAAAGCGGGAGGGAGCCGTCGAGTAGACGGGTATCAGAGCTTGCTGGTGTCTGCTGGAGCATGCGATGCATTCATCATTTCAGCATGAGCCCAGTCTACTCCTTAAAATTACGGAACACAAAGATTTATGCGGGTTTGGGATCCATGATCCTGGTGGCAGACGGTGATCTGGAAGAAACAACAACAAAAAACAACTGTCAATTACATGCAAACTTTGTTCGGTGCTTTCAATCCCAACTGTACAAAATAAATGTAAGAACATGACCCATTCCAAAGAAAGTTAATCAGCAATTACTGTGATAGCCTTGGCAGACTTTTTACACTGCATTTAATTTCTTTTATCTTTCATCTGCTTTGCCTGGAGTTTGCTTTCGCCTGCAGTTTTAGACACCATGTACTATATATATAAAACTCCCTACTCTCTTTTCAGTTGAAAGCTGACACTTCAAAAAAAAAGTTTGTCTGGAGCCAAGCAATAAATAAGCTTTTTGAGTTTTGCATGGCTTTATATATCCCAAAAGGGCCGGAGCAAAATGAATGTCTTAACTCATGTCTATACTCAAGTGAAGCAATGCACTTAACTTTACCATCACAGTTTCATACGCAGCAAAGACAGCTGTCATCCATGCATACTTTTTTGGCAGAAATTGTGTAGATTTGATAAATGACACTCCTTCTCCGCGGCACACACTCTATGGACATTCATATGCAAACACACACATCATTAAATCAAATGTGATTGAGAGTGGAGTGCTGCAGAGTCAATAGCTATCTGAATAGCTGGTATTGACCCTGGGGCTTGACCTAATCCCTTGCCATTAATTCTTGAGTGAGATTTAATTTCCATCACAGACAGTCTACAATTAAAGCTAGGCTCACCCCTGCTCATGCTCCCTTGTGCTATCCTGCTTGGCTTCAAAGTGACAACAGTGATGACGCTGGCATACAGTAGAAGCAGGGGAGGGAGGGAGGGTGAGAGAGAAAGGGAGAGAGGCAGCATAATCGTGATCTCAGAGGGGCAAAGCTTAACAGCGATGGAGAAAGATTAGGGAGGACCGAGGGGACAGATAGCTGTGAAAAGCAGAAGATGGAGGAAAACAACTAATATGGAGGTCATTTTTCTTCGGGTGATGTTCATATTGGTATGCGAGAGAAATCCATGTTGCCTCAAGATTCTTGTGGGGTTATATTTTTAGCATGGGAAGCACTGAACACATAATGCTTAATATTTGAGTGTTGGGAGAAAATTTGCTTAGGCATGGGAATTGCACCATTTTATAAAACACAAATAAAACAGAAAAAAATAGAAAAGCCCTCAGAGAGCGCAGACCTCGGCCAAGCAGGTTATTTCCACCAAATTGTGATTATTGTTTGTGATATTTTATCTACATTTTTAGATCAATGGATAATCAAAACATGTCTTTAGCATGGGCTGCAAGGTGGCGCAGTTGGTAGCACTGTTGCCTCGCAGCAAGAAGGTCGCCGGTTCACGTCCCGGTGGGGGCACCGGAATCTTTCTGCATTGAGTCTCCATGTTCTCCCCATGCAGCGTGGGTTCTCCGGCTTCCTCCCACAAGTCCAAAAACATGTTGAGGTTAATTGGTGATTCTAAATTGTCCGTGAGTGTGCTTGGTTTTCTGTCTCTAAGTGTAGCCCTGTAATAGACTGGTGTCCTAAGTCCTAAATCAGCTGGGATAGATAGACTCCAGCCCCCCCGCGACCCTAGTGAGGATTAAGCGGTGTATAGATAATGGATGGATGGATGTCGTTAGCATTCGAATTGACACTGATATCTTTAGTAACAAGCTGATGGAATGATGAAAGGTCGTTCTGTACTCTCAAATATTTTGCACACTTAGGTATTTCTGCAGTTACTAACTGGCTATTTATTTATTTATTTATTTATTTATAAGTTAATTTTCTGGCCTTTTTGCATTTATTGTATAGGATAGTGAAGAGAGAGACAGGAAAGTGAGGGAGAAGAAAGGGGGAAGGACCTGCAGCAAAGAGCCATGAGCAGGATTCAAACCTATGGCATGCATCCGGGACTATAGCCCCTGTACATGTGTCGCCAGCTTAACCAATTGAGCTACAGCGGCGGCCCACTTTGGCTTTTAAGCTGTTAGCTAACGCTATGCTAAGTTGGCATAACTACAGCCATGTTATTGCTAACATAAACAGACAGGGAGTAACTTAAGCTAGGTTAGCACAACTTTAGCAATGCAACGTAAATGAAAAGCATGACTGACACAACAAAGCAGTCGTCATGACACATGGCAAAGAGAGTTACAGTGAAACAGGAGACATGTTGAGTCATTGTTAACGTTGTTATAAACTTATCTGTCAGTAGCTCCACTTAGCCCACTCCTGTAATGCTGCCTGGTTGTAGCTTAGCCCTGCACTACTAAGAAGACAGCGGTGAGGACTGAAGATTGAATGGAGTCAGAGCTCCATCTAGTGGACAAATGGCACAACGACAGCATTCTGCACAACTTACAGCATTTACTGTTTAATGAGAAGATAACCAGATGGTACACCAGAACATCACCAAAATGTAATCATCTGTTCATTGTGCCATTATCAACATTTCCTAAAAATTTCAGGAAAATCCGTTCCTAACTTTTCAAGTTATCCTGCTAACAAACAGATAAATGCCGGCTAAAACATAACCTCCTTGGCAGAGGTAATTATATTAAGATTATCCATTTATTCATTAAACAAAACACTGTCAGTTGTGTTGTATTCTGTTACATATTATTTCTTAGGTATCATTCGAAGCACGTATACATACATTTCTGATTCACACCACAGTCTAGTCGGTGGTGGCAGTAATGCACCATGACATGCTATTCGTCATACAATCAAGTAGAAGAACAAAGCAGCAATTCCAGCAAATTAACAGTAGTGACCAATATATGGATAGCCACAACATGGTGGAGGAATTGTGTGTCCGACATACGACTCACATTATGAGTTGCCCTAGACACTGATCACTAGATTACATAAACTGTAGGAAACAAGAAAACAGCAGGAAATGAGTTGGAAATCCTGGCAGCAGTTGTGCTTACTGGTGTTTACAGACCACACTAGAGAATCTCAGTTACCTTCCAGTTACAGCCAATTATAGCAATGAAAAGTGGAAAATGCATTCACATGTATTGACCATCATGAAAACTAAGAAGAGACATTATGCTGAGGCATGTGAGCAATGTTTTCTGAATGTCCCAAAGCAGTGGCGACTTTATTGAAAATAAAGTAAGCACGCTCAAGAAAGCAAACCAAGCCTTTTGTTAATATAACCTCATTGCCCTAAAGGACTCAAATTTGAACATTTTACAAATTTGTGATTAACTGCAATTCACGTTGCAAAGCTATGCAATAAATCTAAATTAAATCTTCTAATTGCTTGATTTTAGGTCATTTAAAATTTACAAGAAAAGTGAAAATGCCGCCGTTTACCACTTGATCCTGTTGATGCACTTATTTCTGACCATTTTAACAAAATATGCTTAACTTATGACGTGTTTTATTATTAGCTACGGAAAGTGCTTTTACGATCAACAGCTCAATTTCTAATTTCGCAGTCTCAAAAACCAGATCACAGCATCTCTCTCTGTGGCCTTGGATTTCAGGTTGCACCAATCAAAGCAAAATAAGAACCCTGGCAGGTAGGTTATCTGCTGTGTTTTGAAATTTCTCTATTCCCTTCCTAGCTAAACTTCAAGCTGAGATGTGGTGATCTGCTGTCTGGGTTGACTGCGTGGCTTCCTGACATCAAATTTGTGAGTTTCTGACAGCAAAAGGAATCCTGTGTTCTCCCTCGTGATTTCTACTTCTCACATAACCTCATAATACACACAGGACTACAATCACGTGTTTTTCTGTTATTAAATGTGAGACACAGTCAGACAAAATGTCTGCGGCAGGCATAGCATGGCCCATCAGGTGGCTGTATTTTGAACAGAGCCAAATCTTCATCTTCAAACATGCTTTTCCAATTTGCGCGCACACACACACACACTTGCACACACACTTCCTCTTGGTAGTGTAAATTAACAGCCAAGATTCATACCAGTGACTGTAGAAGGCAATATTCATCATGTAAGGAGACAAGTGAATATATACATTGAGTTCCCCGACAAAGACATTAAAAAAAAAATTTAAAAATAAAAAACTTTTTTTGCAATTTTAGTGGCAACAGCAACTACAAATCTCCTACAACAAATAACATCACCACATGCAGCCTCTTGACAGAATCTCACGTTTACTCCCCAATACACAGAACTCAGCACAATATTTTGTAAATATACACAGAAACAAAGTTTGATCGTGACATTGTATTATCATGTTTGTTCTGAACATGTAGGGACAGAATTGAAGAATTTAAGAGCTTACACAACCTTTTATTAAGATTGTAATTGGGGGATATGCTTCTTTATTACAGAGGAGAAGCAGAGCAATACAGGAAATATGGGAAATGACAGCAGGGTAGTGACATGCATTAAAGATCTGGCCAG